CATGTTCCATCAAATAGTAAGTACATGATAAGGAAACAGCAATTAAGAACAACGTTGTCTTCAACACAGGGCATACAGCATGCACCACTCCAAGACGGTCATTGCAAAGTTTCTTAAATGTATTTGTTAATAAATAAAAATTTTTCAACAGAAAATACAGAAAACACTCATCTGAATGAAAATGAAAACTGTAAAGACTTCCAAGCTACTCCGAAAAATAGTATGGACAGTGCCAAAGAAAGCAGGATTCAAACAGCAATCATACTATAAAATTCAACAGCATACTGTGGAAGTTAAGCAAAAATGGTGACTGGACACAGGCAAACAGGGAATGAAAAATAACTAGAAAATGATACCCGGAGAGCAGCGAGGTAGAGCAATAGTTCAGTTTGTCTCCTTTTCAGCTTCTGTGAACAGGGTGTTATTTGTACAACACAAAATTCATCTAAAAGTCAATCCTACGTAAAAACTTTGTGGATCTTCTTCACATTCCCAAACTAACTTTTACAGCCAGCACCCAAGAAATCCTGCTCGAAGCATAACTTGTCCAGTTCCTTAAAAAGAACTAGATGAGCTGCTGTTAACACCCCAGCTCTTCTCTTTAAAGGGAGGGACAAAGGTATAAGAAAGTCGCAGACCGCTGACACCTCCTCCTATTTACACAGTTTAAACCTGGTGTGTTCTTGATCATGTCTAGCAGCAAGAGTTAGGCCCGGGCTCTGCAGACAGAGTTCTGATTCAGCTCCTTTCACACTAGGCTACTCCAAGCAAATCAGTCTATCAGCCTTACCTTCAAAATGCAGATAATGCAACCTACTTCACATCACCACAGCGAGGAGGAAATCTGTTAATGCTAACTACCTCTACCTAGCACAGCAGGGCTTTCCTTGGAGGGCGGGGAGAAAGATGACTCTTAAGGCCTTCTGCCCCCAAAAACGAAGTCCGCCCAGGTCCATCCCCCGCTCAGAGTAACAGCCGGCTGAACTCTGTCAAAGGCGGAAGAGCCAAGGGGCTCCAGAGTGATCGCCGACTGGGCCCTGGGGAAAGAGCAGCGTTTCAGGAGTCTCTTGTTTCTTCCACAACAGCTGACGTAATGCTTAGCACCCAGTAGCCACTAACAGAACTAAACCAGTCAGGGGGACTTCTCTCATCAGCTGATGATTATGACGGCAGGAAACCATCAGCTACTTGAACCGAAATTCTGGCCTCTTTCACTGTGGGACTTCACAACCTACTTTTTTGCACTATACCCAGGGCATTTACCATGACAGAAGAAAATTATCCTGGCATGTTAACTTCAGCTATATGCCAACTATGCCTCTGAATGGTCCTATTTAAAAACTCCTACAGACCACTGCTTTTCAAAAAGAAAAATAATGATCCCACAAATATTTTATCTCTATTCCTCCCCAGGGCTTCCCTGGTGGCTCAGATGGTAAAGAATCCTCCTGCAACGTGGGAGACCTGGGTTCAATCCCTGGGCAGTGAAGATGCCCTGGAGGAGGGCATAGTAACCCACTCCAGCATTCCTGCCTGGAGAATCCCCATGGACAGAGGTGCCTGGCAGGCTACAGTCCATGGGGTTGCAAAGAGTCGGACACAACTGAATGACTAAGCACAGCACATTCTTCCCCAGGCAGCCTGTATCGATTCCATTTTGATGCATAAAGCTGTCTTTTACAAATCAAAACTCTATCTTGGAGGTAAAAATTCTGTACTGTGGTTCAGAGAGTAATAAGAGAACGCTTAAGGGCAATTTAAAATTAGCATGCCTACACTACTCCATCTGAATGGCTTTACGTTACTGCACTGTTCCTAAACTGTTTTAAATCACGTAAGTATCTTATGATTCTCTGTCCCCTTATACCTGATCAGATAGAAAATGCTGTGCTGAGGTTTCCCCTGACCAATGAGAATTCAGCTCTTTTATGGGTGGGAGGTCAGCAGTACATCAAAAGGAAGAACAAGTGGCTTTTTTTTTTTTTTAAACAAGTGGCCTTTTAAACACAGGATTATTAAAATGACAAATCATTGTGCAGGCCTTCTAAGATGTCATAAATGACTGCCCTCTGTGACCAGCTTCTGTGACTCTGGGCACATGTTTTAAGTCAGAGGATCAGATGAGTACACTTTGTGGCTATGAGATCACCATCAGAAAAATTCCTGTGGGGAGGGAGGTGGGAGGGGACACATATGTCTATGGCCGATTCATACTGATGTATGGCAAAAACCATTATGATTTTGTAATTATCCTCCTTAAAATGAATCCATAAATTTCTTAAAAAAGATAAATTCCTTTCCTCATCCAGACAGCATGCTCATGCAATACATGAGAACATTTAGAATTATTTCCTTCTCAAAGGATCCCACAGGCACCCCAGTGCTAGAAGAGAGTAAAAAGATCACACCAACATTCAGGACCTCCCAGTCAGTCAGTTCAGTCACTCAGTCGTGTCCGACTCTTTTCGACCCCATGGATGGCAGCATGCCAGGCTTCCTTGTCCATCACCAACTCCCACAGCCTTCTCAAACTCATGTCCATCGTGTCGGTGATGCCATCCAACCATCTCCTCCTCTGTCGTCCCCTTCTCCTCCTGCCTTCAATCTTTCCCAGCATCAGGATCTTTCCCAATGAGTCAGTTCTTCGACTCCCAGGCTCTCTGCAAGAAAGCCGAGGCCAGCCCGTCCTCCAGCTCCTGCCAGCTTCTCTGCTGAGCGCTCAGTAATGATTCCCTAGTCTTTATTGGGCATCATTCCTGTCACTCACCACAAAAGCACAAAGGCACAGCAGTCAGCCCAACAAGCACTAGAGCCCATGGGAGGCGTGCCCACTGTCACAGGACATCAAATCTGACACGTGGGTGAAGCTGCAGAAAGGTAGAGGCTAGGAAGGAGTCCACAGAGCTCAAACACATGTCTTGTCTCCGCCCTGCCTGCCTCCCTTCGCTCAGAACGCCGGGCCTAAGCTGCTTTACCCAAGCCCCTTGAGCTCTGCACCTTGCAAGGGACGGAAACTATCTGCTGCATGCGTGGGATTAAAACCCACTGCACACTGGGCTGAGCCTCCCTTCAGGGTGTGTTGGGGTGCTCACCTTGCTCCTCTGTGCACGAGGTGGGGGTACAGGGAAGAGCCACATGAATTAACACCTTGCTGCGCCTGAAATGTCCACTAAGTGCTTTTATTCACAGTCACCGTGCCACCTGGTAGAATCATTCTCCACTTATTTAAAGACACTATAATATGCTCACCCTTAAACTATGATGATCATTTCCACCGAAAAATATCCTAACACATCTTAGTTTCCACTGCCAATTAGGAGGACTTCTGGGATGGAGGGGAAAAAAAAAAACCTGATCATCTTACAAAAAGTAACTTGCCCTAATGGGTGCATAACAGCTCTGATACAATTGGTGGCTTACCTCCACCTGTACACGTGGTTAAATAGTATTAACACTATGGAAAATTAGCCTCATTATTTGACAGTAAAGTGTTCATTTCCAAGTACACGTCCTGGGACATTTAAAATTTCCCAAGCAGGAATTGTTAAGTTGTACCACCAGAACAACAGGTCTCAGGAAGGGTACACCATCAAGATACATTTCCTGATGAAATTCACAAGGGGCTGGAAGCTCCTTCCAGAAGGGCTTAAATCCTGGAGAAACCCAAACCTCCTAAAAGCCTATGATACTAATTGTATGGTGAGAGCCAGCGGTAAACAGAAAAACAGTAACAAAGCCTGTCCCACCTCTTCTTGAGTTAGTTTTCCTTGTTTTTAATACCTCCCTTCATTAAAGAAGTTTAAAAATACTCCTCAAAAACATTCACAACAGTAGATTTTTCTCAAGTGTCCACTTTCAGGAAGCCTTTCAGAAATCATCAAATGGCCAAAGTGACCATCGGTGGAGCGATTGTGCGGCCAGACCCAGACAGGTGGCAGTGTCAGGGGCTCAGGTACAACCTTCCACTTCAGGTCTGCCAATTCCTGGGGAGGCCCAGTCCCCAGGTAGAGAAAGGAGGTGAATGCCAGCCAAAGGTAAGGAGAAAGCAACGAGAGACGTGTCCACTAACGCAAGAAAAACCCCAAGCCTCACACAAAGCATCTTTCGGGATCTTAGGAGCTGCTTCCTTTCCTTTCTAAAACACTTATTTTTCGTACATTTGAAAAAGTTTTTGCTGCTTACCTCTGAATAAAATCTGTGTATTCGTTACTAGGAGGTAGAGAGAAGAGCTTTTTACAAAGTTAAAAAGAAAACTGAAGCGAAGGCTACTTTCCCACCACCCACTGTAACACTTGGAACCTTGATAATGAAAATTTTAAGAAAGACCTAGTTAAAACTACAACGGGTAACTAGGGTGATGTTGTATACATGATTTGGATCCTGGGGCTTTTTGTTTTTGAACCTGGACTAATGACGATGCCAGTTCCCCCAAACAGTTACAAGTTCCTTGAAAACAATTACAAAAGTTCTAGAACAAATACAAAAGCCATTCCTTATAAACTCCAACTTATAACTTGGATAGTTACAAACTATCCAAGTTGAACTGCCTAACCCTCAACGACTTTTTTTGTTTTGTTTTAGAAAATTACACTTAAAACTTACTCAACTCCGTACCAATCCCAGAGAGTGGGGTGCGCGCACCGAAAAAGCTTCCCCCTCCCAGCCCCATGAGCACTGCAAAGGCAGTCGCTGAGTCCCTGCGGCCTCGCCGCCGGCACTGCCCTCCAGTGCGTCCACTCCGGGGGCTCCTGGCCGCAGCAGCACGGCCTGCGAGCCCGGAGGTCCCACCCGAGACGGCGGTGAGCGCCCGCGTGGGGCTCACCCGGCCTCTCCGCGCCGGAGAACAGCCGTCACCCACCGCACACACCTGCGGGGTTCGCCCGCTCCGCAACCAGGCAGCCGAGGGCCACGTTTCCAGCCCAAGGCGGGGCGCAGAGCCAGGCGCAAAGAGAAGGCAGACGTGGGCGCGTCCGGGCTGCAGCGGGCGGCCAGACCCTCACCTGCGAGCAAGTCGCCAACGCCATCCTTCCCCACGGGACTCCGGCCTCCTCCCAGCACGCGGCCACGGGAGCCTGGCTCTCCAGGGGCCCGGCGCACGGAGAACGCCCGCGGCCGCACTGCACGCTCGCCCCGCCCGGAGCTCCGGCGGGCCGGGGGAGGGGCGCACTCGGCGCCCGGGACAGGGGGAGCGCCCCGCGCCGCTCACTCGCCCTGCCGCGCCCGCCCGCGAGCTTCCGCTTACACAACCCAAACTTCGCGACCGATGGATTTCGCTTCTCAGGCGGCACAAGAAGGGCTGCAGCCGGGCACCGCCCGAGGTGGCTGCCAATCTGGGGGCGCCGGGCTCCCCCCTGCAGCGGAGGGAGGGAGTGGAGCGGTCCGGCTGGGTTTCGCGCGGGAGAAATGAGAGGGGGCAGTCCCGGCGCAGCCTCCAGCTGGCACGCCCGACTGCGGCGCCCGCCAGATCTTTGCAGGGTTTATTCCAGGTAGTGCCCTGGAGCGCAGAGCCTCTGAAGCAACGAGAGTCTCAGAGCAGGGAACGCATTTTAGGGCTGCCTCAGAACTTGTTTTGTTTCGTAGTTGTAAATGGGCGGGGTTCCGACGCCTCTCAAAACATTGCTTCAGGGCTCACTTTGCAAAACTGGTAACCCAGGCCCCCGAGGGTCGGGAACTGCAAACCTCCCGTGGAACTTCAGACGGCCTGTCCTATACCATTGTACACGTAGGCCTTGCAGCCCCACTGGACAGTTACAGGTCAGGAAGACTGACAGATACTGGCTGAGCATTACTACTGCATGTCAGGCGCTGTGTTCACAAGCTGGGACAAAAAACAGGCCCCTGCTCTGTTGGAGTTTACAGGCACGGAGCCAGCCACGGACGTGATATAAATGTAGTAATGATGTAATTATAATTTAATAATAATGAATTCACTTTAGTTATTATTAACCTTTACTTAATAATAATGGTGATAATTTCAGTAATAGTGATGCAAATAAATGTAAATGTGGAGTTACAATAGTTGCCAGAAGGGAAAGGTAAGGGGTTCTATGGTGGTGTAAAATAGGGAGACTTAATTTGGTTAAGGTCAGAGAAGACTAGAGTTGAAGTATGAAGAGTGAAAATTAAACTGGTAGATGTTTTGGAAGCCTTGAAATAGGTATGAGGGAAGGTGGTAGATAAATTGTCCTGAAGTCATAGCAGGTTTTGCTACAAGCTTCTCTAAATAGTTGGCTCTACAGATGTTTTGTTTTAATGCTATATTTTTTGACCTTCCTATAATGTTGGTGGGAATGTAAATTGGTGCAGCCACTACAAACAGTGGTATGAAGTTTCCTTTGAAAACTAAAAATAGAATAACTGTATGATCCAGCAGTCCCATTCCTGGACACATATCTGGAGAAAATTCTAATTCAAAAAGATACATGCACCCCAGTGTTCACTGAAGCAGTATTTACAATACTCAAGACATTTAAGTAACCTAAATGTCCCTTGACAGATGAATGGATAATGTGGTATTTATATACAATGGAATAGTACTCAGCCATAAAAAGAACAAAATAATGCCATTTGCAGCAATATGGATGGACCTAGAGATTATCATACTAAGTGAAGTCAGACAAAGACAAACATCATGTTATCATTTATATGTGGAATTTAAAAAATGATACAAATGAACTTATGTACAAGACAAATAGATTCACAAACACAAAAACTTACAGTTACCAAGGGGGAAAGGGGGGATAAATTAGAAGGAGTTTAACAGATACACACTACTACATATAAAATAGATAAAAAACAAGGACCTACTGTATAGCACCGGGAACTGTATCCAGTATCTTGTAACACCCTATAATGGAAAAGAATCTGAAAAGATATGCAGACAGATTTAGATACAGATATACCTGAATCACTTTGCTGTACCTGAAACTAACACATCATAAATCAGCTATACTTCAATTTTTAGTAAGGAAGGAAAAAATACTATATTTGGGGGGGGAGACCCACAACTTCCCAGACTGTAGAAATCCCCAAGTTGTTACTTTGTGATTTATCCTTTTTTTACTTGGAATAATCACATTTTTAAATGCTAGTGCTAAGACTGAATCACATTTGTGATAGCAGAAAATCTATGGACTTGAGGCAGCTACAGGTCTGTTGAGTCCATTAAGTTTCCAGGTGATTCTAATGAACAGGTGTATTTGAGAACCATTGCTCTAGTCTAGCTTGGCCTTTGCAAAGTGAAGTCTTAAGATCAACAGTGTCACACCAATTAAAATCCTTTTAACTGGATTGTGTTAGTATAAAGTATATGTGTAGGAAGACTTCATTGGAATTCAGCATGCTTCTAAGGGTACACACATCAGCCTGAAGTCAATTAGAACAAAGGAAGTGAAGAGAGGGGAAATTCAAGAAGAGCTATCTGTTTTTTTTTCTGAATGTGTCTGCTCATTTATTGCTTTCTCTCTGTTTTTTGGTCTTCCAGGCATGCAGTTTTCTTGATTGTCCTCCCACCTTTCATTTTTTGTTTATTTTTGGCTGCCCTTGGTCCTCATTGCTGCACAGGCTTTTCTCTAGTTGCTGAGAGCCAGAGCCACTCCCTAGTTGTAGTGTGCAGGCTTCTCACTGTGGTGTCTTCTCTTGGTATGAAGCACAGGCTTTCAGTGTGGGCTTCGTAGTTGTGGCACATTGGCTCAGTCAGTACTTGTGGCTCCCAGGCTCTAGAGCATAGGCTGAATAGTTGTGGCACATGGGCTTAGTTGCTCCGCGGCATGTGAGACCTTCCCAGATGAGAGATGGAAACCGTGTCTCCTGCATTCATAGGCGGATTCTTTACCACTGAGCCACCAGGAAGCCCCCTCCCACCTCTTCTTTATTTTAGGTTCCCTTTCTCTCTCTCTTCATCCTCCATTTTATCCCCCTTTTTTTAATGTTGTTGTTCCCCATTTCCTCATCCCTTCCCCATCCCATTATTCTTCAGTTATGCATTAAAACAAAAGCACTGGATGAATAACTATGTAGTGATTCAATAAAACCTAAGCTCTCTATGTCCTAGAACTATAATGAGTTCTAGTTGACCAAATTTTTCTGGATAACTGTGAATTTGAGCTCTTTAAACATTAAAAGGCTTTTAGTTACAGTTATCATTTGGTGCTATGTGACCTACATTTGGACTGCAAGGAGAGCAAACCAGTCAATGCTAAAGGAAATCAACCCTGAATATTCACTGGAAGGACTAATGCTGAATCTGAAGCTCCATCACTATGCCCCACCTGATGTGAAGAACTAACTCTTTGGAAAAGACCCTGATGCTGGGAAAGATTGAGAGCACGAGAAGAAGGGGAAGACAGAGGATGAGATGGTTGGATGGCATCACCAACTCAATGGACATGAGTTTGAGCAAGCTCCAGGAGATGGTGAAGGACAGAGAAACCTGGCATGCTGCAGTTCATGGGGTTGCAAAGAATCAGACATGACTGAGCAACTGAACAATAATGACAAAACTAAGATTTGGGGTGCTTTTCCTTTCTTCTATCTTTGTTTATTCTCCAAGTTTGCTACAATAGGTGTTTATTTTATAATTGAATAAATAAACTTGTAAATAAAAAAAAAAAAGATCAACAGTGTCAGCATCACCTGAGCTCTGGCAAAGAAATCCAAATTAGTGGGCCTCACCTCAGACCTACAGTATTGCAAACTCTGGGGGTGGGGCCCAGCAATCTGAGTTATGCTCACCATCCAGGTGATTCTGATTCTTACTTAAAGAACCACAACGGTTATAATCCAAGTCAACTGCTGGGTGACCTTAGAACTAATCATTGAGCTTCCTTTTTTTTTTAATCTGTAAAATGGGGATACTGCATATCTGCCCAATCCATGCAACAGTATTTCTACAAAAATGAACACATGTAGTATCAGATGTGATTGTATTTTGAAAAGGCTAGGGTGGTGGACAGTTGTGAATAGTATCAATAGTGATAATCCTGCCATTTATTGAATACCATGTTCTAGGAACTATTTATGCAATATTTCACTCAGTCATCACTACAAACATCTGATGTACATAATCCTATCCTCATTTTTCAAATGAGAAAACTGAGGCTTTGAGGGCTGAAAAAAACTTGCTCAAGGTGACCTAGCAGAGCCAAGCTAGAACTCAGATGTCTCGAACTGCTGAGCTTTATATGCCTCTCTTTGCCTTTATTCTGGTAGCCTGGTGCTCTGGAGAGGGTGAGTAATGGCAATAAAATAAATTTACATTTTAATTAAGAAAATAGGAATGAGGTTCCTTATGTACTATCATCCCAATCTACTGATTTACTGTGCCTGTGACTCGGGTTTATTCGCCCCATTTGTTTCTGAAACTATTTTTTCATTGAAAGGTCACTTTTAGCAAGTTTTAGCAAAAATAATCAATGAGCAATCGATAATGAGAATTGGAGTTTTATTTGAGTCAAACTGAACACTACAGCCTGGAAGCTCACTTCCCAGATTACTCTGAGAAATTGCTCTGGAGAAGCAGGGATTTTTTCAGTCAGTCAGTTCAGTCTCTCAGTCGTGTCCGACTTTGCAACCCCATGAATCACAGCACGCCAGGCCTCCCTGTCCATCACAAACTCCCGGAGTTTACTCAAACACATGTCCATCAAGTCAGTGATGCCATCCAGCCATCTCATCCTCTGTTGTCCCCTTCTCCTCCTGCCCCCAATCGCTCCCAGCATCAGGGTCTTTTCCAATGTGTCAGCTCTTCACATGAGGTGGCCAAAGTATTGGAGTTTCAGCTTCAGCATCAGTCCTTCCAGTGAACACCCAGGACTGATTGCCTTTAGGATGGACTGGTTGGATCTCCTTGCAGTCCAAGGGACTCTCAAGAGTCTTCTCCAACACCACAGTTCAAAAGCATCAATTCTTCGGTGCTCAGCTTTCTTCACAGTCCAACTCTCACATCCATACATGACCACTGGAAAAACCATAGCCTTGACCAGACAGACCTTTGTTGGCAAAGTGCCAACTGCTTTTTAATATG